GCGGGTGACCGTGAGACTTAGTGGATCTCGAAACGCGATCCAATGTCGATAAAAATACCTTTTAGAGAGGCAAGACTAAGTATAATTAAATTTAAGCGTCAGACCCCCTCATGGGATCGTGGGAAACTTCACCTATCAGCTCTTCATCAGTTTTTGCGACATAAAGTGACTGAAACTATTATTTAAACGTGAACTTTATGCACCAATGCAGCTGTTGCCAGCAGCGCACACTGAACGGAGAAGTTGTCCTAGGCTAGTCGCTATGTGGACTTCGGCTCTGTTCCCTTCCGAGGTCGCTCGCTCCTGCAGCCATAGCCAGGAGGAAGCGGCCTCCAGTCGAGCGCTCCTCGTCCCAGCGTCCGATGGTACCTCGTACTTCGGCCTTGGCTATCGAGGCTGGGCGCAAAAACAAGACAAACAGAATTCCCCGACTGACCACAGCCAAGGCGAGAGGAAAGTCACAGCAAGAATAAAACTCACACGAACGCCGTTGTCGAATACTTCCTGCCAGAAGACCGGTTGCACCTTGTGGCTGTTGGTCGAGAGGTGGATGTTTTTCAGCAAACCGAGCAGGGTTTCGATGTAGTAGGCCTCCAGTTGCGTGAGATTTTCCAATTTCATCCTACTCATCAGCTCTTGCACCTGCGGATTATTGGCCCTGTCAACCGGAGGAGAGAATGGTACAGGGAATGGAATAGATAGATGGGCCAGGACAGAAAGAGGAGTGACGAATTGTAGCTGGAAGTGGTGCTGAGAAGAGCAAGACTCACTGACGATGCCGACGAAACTTCTGAGAATGTAGCTGGGAATTATGCTAACTAACATAGCAGAGGACTCTAGACAAAGCGAGTCCAAACAAGTCGCCCCGACAACAGGATCAAGTTGCGAAAACGAAGTCAGATCACGTTTATACGTCTAAAGTAGACTTCAACCAAAATAGAGGCCACAACATCTTGTTGTGCTTACTTCCATTTCGAGTGAAAGTGTTTGGTGAAGAGATTCGAAGGTCGGATCCACCAGAAGACGGAGGCGGATTCCTCTTGACCAACTGTCGATTGGCTTTACTGGAA